ACTTCATAAAGTTGACATGAAGTTCTTAATGCCTGATACATAGTAGCACTCATTAAAGGTTAGCCATCATTGTTAATGGCTAAGTAAATGAGTCAGGCTGGAGTCTGAGGTCACAGATAATACCCTCAGCTTACTCCTCCAGATGAACCATTCTTACAAGGAACATGAATGTGGTATAGCAACCCCAAGCAAGACCTGTGTAAAAAAGAACGTTGTGAGTCTGGATAACATTAGGCATAATATACAATTATGTTCAATGCATCAAAAAAATGTTTCATTCTTATTGTAAGATTTTAAAGTATGGGTACCCTTCAAAAGTGTTCTGTTTTCAGTAATTTATATGATAGGCCACCTTAAAACTTATATGCAATAAAAATTCCTACTTGGCTTTCTAAAATTTAATATTCATAGTTCTATGAAGAATTATTATCCTTTTTCTGAAGAGGAAATTGAGAATTTACAGAATAATTAAGTACCTAAAATGGGGCCTTATGTGGTAGACATTCAGCAAATATGTTGAATGTATGACTGACTTTTCAAAATCAAACAACTAGCGAGTAGTGGAGCAGGGACTCAAATCTGGCTCTGTGACCTTTGAGCAGTTTAAAGCTATAAATATTTTCTCTTGCCAACTTACCCTCTGCCAGGACTATTGAGAAATTGTAGAACTGGACTAACGTGATTTTTTTTCTTTAGAGAGAGGGGCAGAAAGAGAGGGAGAGACAGAATCTTAAGCAGCCTCTGTGCCCAGTGTGGAGCCTGACACAGGGCTCAGTCTCAAGACCCTGAGTTCATGACCTGAGCTGAAATCAAGAGTTAGACACTTAACTGGCATGTGAGCCACCCAGGTGCCCCAAAGGTGATGTTCGTCTAAAGTAGTCTGGCAGTTAATGCTGGTCCTGGCAAACCTTTTTGCAAAGTTATTGTACAAGTCTGCCAGTCAATATCAAGAAACATATCTAAGGAATTACATAAAAGCAAGCACTGAAAGTATTAAACATATGTGTAGATCCATATGTAAAGATAAAGGAGGATCTATATAATAAGACTTAACAGAATTCTGAGCTTCTTAGCCTTGCATGTGAAGCCCCCATAATGGTGGTCTTTAATTTTTTAAAGTTTTCTTTTTCACAAACCCTTCTTCACATTTCCTTATACTTCTTCCTCATTGCTTTCTACATCTTTCTCTATGTTTTCCAGTCTCTGTCTCTGCTCAAACTAGTCTATGCCTGAAATCATCTTCCATATCTGCTTGTCAAATTACTATCCATTCTTCACATTACTCCAGAGTACTGTCTCCTTTCTTCACAATCTTCACATCTCTTTTAAATTCTGTGAATAGTCTGTCTTGACTGTTACAAATAATAGGAATCAAATAATTATAGGAAGAATGAATGACTTGTGAACTCCTAGCAGGCAGGAGTCTTATTCATCTTTGTATTCCCAAAGCACCCTAGCCATTTGGGAGATAGGATACTGATGTGTAAAGAACATAGAATGAAATATAGTTTAGAAACTTGGTTCATCTTTCTGTACTGCATGACCTTGGGCAATTACTTAACCTTTCTGAACCACAATTTTGTGAATAAAATGGCAAAAAATATGCAGTTATATGCAGTTCAGAATATGCAGCTCAAAAAATATGCGGTTATATGCAGTTCAGAATATGCAAAACTATTCCTTAATTGTGTATAGGATTCGATTGAATCACTTTTGAATATGCTGGTTGCCAAGGGAAATACTGATGAGTAATAAGATATTTATCCTCAAAAGGCTTATAGTCTTGAATTAAGGACATCCACACATGAAACAAAGCAAACTATACAGAATTGCTATATGAAGTATTAAATGCTAATATGCTATAATTAGGTATTAAATGAATTATATGATAAAAGAATTCAGAGAAGAGGGAGTCTATAATAAATACAAATGGTAGGCCCTGAGGTAGCCTGAAAGCTGTGCAGTGTTGGTGGGGTAGCTGCGAAAGGGGATGAGAACAACATGAACAGAGATTGAATTGAGTGTAGTGTGATGTTTTTGACATGAGAAGTTAGCCAAGCTTTAGAGCAAAAGCCAAATTTTGTAGAATAGTTGTGAAAGGCCCTGAAATTCCAAGTAGACTTTCCATTACTTGCCACTTTTGACCCCAAATTCATTTAATATACAGATATTGAACATTGACCCAACCTACTGTTTGGGCCTCATTATACTCCTCCCACACACCCTTCATTGTGGTCATAATGAACTTTTCACAATTTCCTGAACACTGTGATTTTTTCTGACCTTACTGTACTTAATGTCTCAGCATCACTTGGCATAATTACTTATGCTCTCCTAATTGAAACAGTTACTTATACTAGACTTTCTTGGTCTTTCTCTTATCTCACTCCCCATTTATCAATCTCCTTTGCTCTGACTCCTCTTCCTCTGCTTGATTTCAAATGATTGGAATGCCCAGGGCTCCATCCTGGCCTCTCTCCTTTTCTCTAAGCAACCTATTTCTCTAGGTTTATTTCTTTTGCCCACAAAATCTAAATATGGTCAGTGTGCTATGAACTCTCCTGCTCTTGAGCTGTCTTTGTTGACCTTTACCTCTGTACAGATGTACATGATACCTCTTTTTGGATATCTAATGGGCATCTTAAACTTAATATATCCAAAACTTCACTCTCAGTTTCCCCACCCAACCTGTTCCTACCCCAGTTTTCCTTGTTAAATCCAATTCCATCCTTCCATTTGCTTAGGCCAGAAACTTGGGGTTATGTTTTTCTCTCATTCCATTAGTAATTTGTCTGGCTTCTACCTCTAAAAGATACCTGAACCTGACAACACTTCACCCTCTTTGCCTCTACTACCCTAGTCCAAGTCACCACCACTTCTTGCCAGGACTAGCCTCCTAAGTCTCCTAGCTCTCCCTGCCTTTACTCTTTCTTCACTGTAGCCTAAGCAGCCGGAATAATATTGTATACATGTAAATGTAAGTCAGTTCTTAACTATTTCCCTGTGTAAAACCTATTTCCCTGTGGCTTTCCGTTGCAATTACTATAAATATCAAGTTCTTTACTATGGTCTGCAAGGACCTACATGATCAGACTACTGCTATCTCTTTCTTATCATAGCAGCCTCAACTTAAATGGCACTTCCTCAGAGATGCCTTTCCTAACTATTCTGTTGAAAATAACTCCCTTCACCCTGCCCCTCTGTTACCTTTTTAATTGTAATCCTGTTTTATTTACTTCACAGCACTTAGTATTCTCTCAAATTACTTACTCATTTATTTGGTTATTGTCTGTCTCCTTTACTGGAATATAAGTTTCATGAAAGCAGGGATCATGTTTTTCTTGTTCACTACTGTATCCCTAGCACCTAGAACAATGTCATAAATATACGTAGGTGCTCAATAAATACATGTTAACTGAGTGAATGAACATGCTGTGTTCTTCCATTTATTATTTCCTTGTCTAAAAAGTGCCACCCTTCTTTCTTCCCCAAACGAAGCAAAAATTTCATGCCTTCCAAATGATAAACACAAAGCTCCTACTTACCTAACTTCATATTTCAACGTATATTTTTCTTCCCCTCTGAAGCTTTCCCTAACCATTTCCCCTTTCTCAGTTGTACCTATTACATTTTACTCTGGCTGTTTATATATCTGTCTACCCTTCTTGGATTGTGAAGTTTTTTATGGACAGACCTATATATTTGGGTTGGTTTCCTTAGCACATGGAATAATGCAAGACATTGACTTAATGTTGATAAATACATGACTCAACATCAAAATCTTAACCCCATAGTAGTTTTCCAGAAAGTAACATTGCTTTCTGAGATACAAAGATGGATAAGACTCTTGCCTTCTGGAAATTCACAATTTGTTCATTGTTCAATAAATATTTACCTGCAGTGTGACAGGCATTATGCTTAACTGCTAAGGATACAGTGACAAAGCTTCCTGCCTAAAGAAACTCTATTTTAGTTGGGTATTATTTCCTTTGATTTTGATCAATAATATTTCATGCTGTATATTGGTGTTTCCTAGGTATTTTTAGTCTGTAATTAACCTGGGAACTCTATGGGAGACAATGGGAGAGACAGATTAACTACCTAATCCTAATCTTACGTTGCATGTATGTTTATTGCATAGTTACAGAATAGCAAAGGAGGAGTAATGGAGGCCAGAACTGTGTAGCACACCCAAATTGTTTTCCCAATTCTGCAAGCATGGCACAATTATACCCAAGGCTGCCAGTATAGATTATTCATACATTAACAGTGGCAGATTTTTATTTTCAGTGTTGATAGTGCTTTTTAATATTGTTATAAACAAATAGAACCATGACTAATGTTTCTTAATTTATGTGGTTAATTTCATTTACTCTTCATGGTTCGGACACATTTCTAACATTTTGGTTAATGTTGCTCTGAATTCTCCAATTTCTAAATTCTGTGTATTCGTGAGTCCTAAGTGAAAGCACAGATATTTTGAAGGAATTTTGATATAGCAGGTAAAGTTCTGGAGATTTCAGTATTTTCTGAATTTTGACTGAAACCATATTTCTATTCTTATACAGCATTCATGAGTATAAACAATATTTTATATTTCTGTTCTTCTAAAACACCTATTTCACTTGGATTTGAACCAGAGTCTTTGAATATACATCTTAGTAGCATATTTGGAGTTTTATATAATTGAAAAAATTTGGTTCTCTTAGAGGAAGTACATATGCAGACAATAGTATATGACTTCTAGAAAATTCTTATGTATGCAAAGTGTTTAGAATTGAAGTTTAAAAACACCTTGGTAGAGAAGGAGTTAACAGGTTAGCTCCCCTTGGTTGCTCTCAGCATGCTCTCTTGCCTTTAGGAGCTGAAAAGATGATAACATTGGGCCCGGACATGCCTGTGTGGAGGTTGTGGTACTCCTGGGGTTTTTGCAGCTAGCTGTAAAGCAAGCTAGAACATGTTCATCTCAGAGTTCCTTGTTTTTCTTTCAACCCTTTCAGTGCCCTGCAGGAGTCATTAAATCAAAACTTCATGCTGATCATCACCCACCGAGAAGTCCAGCGGGAGTACAACCTGAACTTCTCAGGAAGCAGTACCATTCAAGAGGTAAGTTATGTCTCACAGCTAAGGAATAAAGGTAGCTCATTATAGCTAATGTTGACCCTGTTAAAGAGGGCTTATCTGTTCTAGTTGGAAACTCTCTTTATGTTTCATTATTGGGTTCTTAATTTTAATTAACTGGAGCATCAATGATTACTGTAGATCTATTTAATGACTTGACCCAGAAAGATAGATGTTATAAATGAGAGCTCTTGATAACTCTTAAAATAGTCAACTTAAAACCTTGCTTAAAAATAATTCATTGTTATATAATGTATTTTACGGTTTTATAGTAATAGTTAAAAATATTAATTTGGAAATTGTTGACAGCATGCATTTTTGAATATGCCTATATTTTATTTGAAAGGTTGCTCTCAAATGTATTATTTATAATGTGTACCCTGCCTTTTTCCAAAAGGAGTTTGAGGAGGCTTTTCTTTAGTAGCTCAATCCCAACATTAGGCAATATTCGTGAGATGCTGTTGGAGACTGTCAGTCTTTAGCTTAGAATATCTGAGATATAGTGTCAATATTTTCTTCAATGTGGCCAACCAGGGCCACTGTTTCAAAAAAGAACCGCCCCCAAGAGAGAAAAGGTACCTTTTTGCCTGTGGCCCCACCCACTTAAAAGCCAGTAATTTATCTCCATCTGGGTAAAATGTATAAGGCTTTGACAGGATTGTGTTTAGAAACACTGAAATGACGATTATGACAGTTAGGTTTGTTAATTGTGAAGACAACAATTGTTTGTCTACTGATATTTTTATAAAGATAATTATGCTCAATCTTGGATTATTTCATAAAATTTTTCTTGGTCTACATTGTTTAAGATAATTATTAATGTCATATTGAAAGAATGAGTTGTTTTCACCTAATCATTTTTCAGATGTATATGAATTGTTTTAGTAGTGGTTAGACTATTAATGGTTTCCTTTTGGATGTTTTGTCAATGAATTTCAACTTCTGAATTTGCCATAAGTAGCTCATTGTTTAAAGTTTATTTTCTCTGTTTATTACTTAAATAGTTTGTTGACTAGTAACTAAAATCTTTAAAATTTTTCTTGGCCCCTACTTTGAATCATAAGTTTGAATTATTTGATTTTTTTTCCAGAATTTTAAGTGTATTAATTGGCATTTCATTTTAACCTCTATAATGGGTGTTCTAGTCTCTAAATTTTCAATTCCTTGGAGAATCATTGTTGCTTTTACTTTAGAAATAATATTTAACTATGGCTCTATAGCAGATTTCTTCTGGTAACTTCATGGTAGTAAAATTTAAATTACATATTGGATGTAATTAAATAAGGAAATTTAGTTTCAAAACAACTCCATTTTAATCAAGAAAAGCAAAAATAATACAAAGTAAATTTCATTTTGTTGTTGATTTACTTTTTTAAATTGAAGACTAGTACAATGCTTGATGGATAAATATATACTGCTGTATTTTTTTTCTGATTGAAATTTTTATAGCCAGAATTTTTTACCTTTTTTTTTTACATTTTTTTTAACATTTCTCTAGTTTAAGTGTGTTTCAACTTTCTCCCACAAGAGGGCAGAAAGGACTATTAAACTGATAGTCTAAAAATGTCATTCAGTGTTTTCAAATTAGCTTCTCTTATATTAACAAAAAGGAGCATAATGGCCAAGTTATTGTTTGATTTACAGATAATTGGCATATTGCAGGGAGGAGACTTAATTTCACCCTTTTAAATTAAACAGGGAGATTTAAAAAGACATAAAATATTCATTAATGTTCGGTGATTATAAAGTAGTGGCATATATTTATTTTGCCTTTATTACTGTTTCGATGGGAAAATACTGCAAATATTTCCGAAATCGAGTTGGCCATACTGACAAGTTGAAATGTTTAAGCAGCGTTAATGCAATCTGCTCACACCTGATATCCTATGCAGAATGATTCAAAATGACTACATCAATTATTAAAAGAAATATTTAAAATTCTGTAAATGTGCCACTGTGTGCCACAGTTGGCTGAAACTGTTCTCCATGGCCTGCTATTTAGATTATCCAATATATTTTAAGCTTCAAGGACTTGAAAACAGTAAACCTTTTTCATACCATTTTCTAAATGAAAAATGTCCCAGAAATATTTTTGCAAAGACAGATATTCTTGTGTATTTCTTCACAAGAGTTTGGTTTCTTCTTTTTCTTTTTTCTCCCCCCCCTTTTAAGTTTATTTAAAATAATATTTTGAAATTCTAGGTGCCAGGACAAAATAAACGCAATCAGTGCTTTTTGTGAGTAGACAGGTACATGGAAACTCCTTTATTCTGTACAATTTAGTAAAAAAGAATATAGGATTATAGTCTCTGGGCCTAGGATCACACTCTGTAGGCCTAGTTCAAAGACTTTTCTTCTTCAACTTATGGAATATTTGGGGGCTTGGGGCTGGTTCGGGAGGAGTAGTTGCTCTTATGCTACAGCCATGCAACCCACAGTGACACTTAAGTATGTCCTTTTTTGTTGTGTGATTGAAAGTCAGTTTGCAACACAATAAAAATACAATGTCAATATGATTTTGCAGTATGGTTTGATAAATGTTAGAATTTTTGCTATTAATATGGAAGCTTAATGATGCCATATATCTTAAATTATAAATTAATTTCTGTCATCAGTTTCAGAAATCTCTTTTCAGTGTTGTTTAATAGTTCCAAGAATGAATTCTGACCAATATATGAGAGAAAGGAAGAAAAAAACACCTGATTTTTTTCCAGGGTAGGAGTATATTATTTTTGTTATAGGTGAAAAAACAGCCCATTTTTTGCTGTTTTTAAATTTTGAAAGCCTTGCGTATATAAAAAAAAAGCTTTTGTAATATTTTTCCCCCAGAGACAAATTTGTATTAAATGAAATAGTGTTGAAAAGGCACTGTGATTTTAACTTTATTTAGACAAAATACATTTTTTAAAATACTGAATTAGAAAATAGAACTTAGATGCAGTTTGAATTTCAAATAAACTCTTCAGTGACCATATGTTCATGCAAGTTAGTGGTGATAAACCGTAGTTGTGCAAGTGTTTGTTCATTCTGGCTCTGTGGTCTCTTGCCTCACAATGCATGACTTATGTCCTTTGGGTGCTCTAGATTTTAATTTAAGCTAGTTAGATATTGAGGGTTTTTTTAAACTCTTTACAAATCATTCCACTTACATTATCCTTCTACTTAAGGAAAAGGCAATGATAGTATAAAAAGGTCAGTGTGGAAAGTTGCAAGTAGTCCTAGAATAAAAATCCTTTCTCTTTTTCCATTTCAACAAATTGTTTATGAAATTATCAGATAATATGACAATTACTTTGTGACAGTCATCTTTCCACCTTTTTGGGTCCTGAAGTAGCTACTTACCACACTTTAAAACAGTGAATTTCTTTGAAAATTTAAACAAGCTTACCTTATTTTAATGAATTTTCTACACTGAGAATTCAGATTTTTAAACAATTATACAGATTCTCGTAATACTGTCTAATACTATTAAAATCTGTGATTACAAATGCACTTGGGATTGGTTAAATTAAGGGAAAAAAGATTGATTTGCCTAGTGCAAATCCTAAACCCAGGTGTGGAAAAGGATATGAAATCCCTGAAATCAAGCCAACTTTTCTTGGAAACCAATTCTTTGTTGTCTATATTACTATTGCAAAAGCTTCTATTAGGCAGAATACCCACTTTTCTTTGCCGATGTCATACAAACTTAAGGAATACACACATGACCCAGAAAAACAATAATAAGAAAACTAATTATTTTTGGCATGGAATCATGGAGTATTACTTATCTATCTGTTATAGCGAGAAGCATGATAAATAGCTATTGGAATTATTTAAATTCTCTTCCAAGTTTTACTTTACCCTAGAATTCTCACTGTTCTTATTAATGTTGATTTAGCTCTTAAGGGGAATGAAAGGTGAAAATTGATGACCTATAAAGATATAGCTTGCATAAAATAGTAAAACATTTCACTACTAATATTAGTGATTGTCAAGTGAGAAGCCAGTAGTTTGAATTAGCAACAAGAAGTGAACTAAATATATAAATCATACCAGTCTTTAAAAATAATCTTGGCTAAATAATTGTGAAATCATGAGGCTAGTTCTGATTCTGCAAATTTGAAACTTGGGTTGGGTTTTGTGCCTATTTTTCTATTTGCTACTTTCTGAACTTGCTTGATTAACGTATATTTCAAACTCTTCTTTGATGCTAGAGATCATTAACAGTATTAAATATGTAGTTTTTTAGAGATTGTACTAATAAGCAATTTTCTGGTATTGGGTTGACCATAACTGCTTAACTAACATGCCCTTTCTGTAAATGTTTTAGGTATAGTTGTTTTTTGTTTGTTTTGTTTTGTTTTTTTGTTTGTTTGTTTTCCAGTTTAGAGAGGGCGGGGGTGCTGGCACAGAACTGAAGAGTAGACTAGCTGAGAATGTGCATGTGCAAGAGGGTAAATTAAATTGTGTGCTTATTTAATTAAAAGTTTAAGTGGTTTATAAATTTACTTCAAGATAAACGGCATATATAAACTCAATTAGAATGAACCCATTTTAATTAGCATGTATCATAGTTTGATTTTTTAAAATTTGAAATCACCAATGACATCTTAGCAAGAATGAAAGCGATATAATTTCTTAAGCAGTCGGGCAATGAATTCAAGCCTTTATTCAGCTTTGAGAAAAGGACATTATGAGTTTCTTTTAAATATGCGTGTATATTATTAGTTTCAAGTTGAAATTTATAATCTGTTGAAGTCATACCACTTTAAGTGAACAAATTGCTAATGATCATTTTATAAATATTGAGGTTACCTGTTATTCCTAGTAAATCATCCCCTTAGGAAATAAGTTTAAGTAATATTTACAATGCAGCCATTTGGAACTGACAAGTCTTTTTCTCTCCCCAAAAGTATTTTAGAATAATCTCTCTGGGAAATTTTTTTTAAGCCCATGTAAGTATTTCTTCACCTACTTTTCAAGAGGATAGAAACAATGAAATT